GCCCTAAACCGACTGGATGCTAAGGCTATCCACCGTAAATGTATCTAAAGTACTTATTAAATTCAACATTTGAAGTCATGAAATCTAACAAGGTTCATTCTAAATGAGACTACTCTAAAAATCTTCTAGGAGCGCTCTCAGTGCATCAGTCTTCATAAACCACATCATCTGTAACATAAGAAAATAAAAGAACAAATAACACAAAAATTAGCTTTAGAGCTAAGTAAGTCCCACCCAACCCCGTAAAATAATAGTTTTATTTAAAAATAAGTATTTGTATATAGTATATACAAAAATGAGTTTCCAATAATTTCAAAAAGAGTAATAATATCTCTAAAAGATTTTCTTCAATAGTTTTCGTAAGTATTTCAAAGAATAATTCTCCAAGTACCAAAATATTTGATTTTTCCTCAAAATAGCTTTATAGCTAATTCTCCTAATTATTTAATTAGAAGGGCGGTGCTCAAGCGTTATCTCGATTCTTGAGCCCAGTGATCCGTTGTTTTGTACGGTCACTCCGATCTACTCTCGGTACCTCATCTCCCCTATTAGAATCTAGACTTCTACCTTTAAGTGTGCACACCCCCTAAAGGGATTCCAAGCCCTCCGAGTAGTATGAAGTCTAAGTAGTTCTGACGTCAACGTCTCCCTACTCCAAATGGGATATACTCCCTAAGTTCTAGGTTCAAAGACCCTTAAGAGAATAGGTACTACTACTACTGCTATAATAAATGGGATCTAATGCCCAGTTGTTCGGGGTGGTTACCGAACCCTCCAAAATTTATTTAATTTGCTTTACACCTCTCAATTCAAGTAGTAGTAGTCCTAACCCTCCCTCACCATTAACGGACGTGAAGGTGGCCCGACACCTACGGATTTCTCCCGTGGTGCCCCAATTATGAAAACAGTCTTTTATCTTGACTTTCCAAAAATTCCACATTTATGTCTCTTGGACAAAATTTTACCACAAAGATTAAAATTCATAACTTTATATTTTCCCCAAAATATCTTACGTATACACATAATCCAATGTATCTCAAAAACACAACAAATACAACTTCATCAATCAAAATATTCATACCATCACATAAATCAAATAAATAGTTATTTACGAGGTAAAAACATAATTTTGGTTGCAATGTGACTTACCTCAAATTCCAGATATTCTTAGCAAGTTTCTCTAACAGCTTCCTCTCCAAGTTCACCTTCTAATAATTATAATTTCCAAAGTTAATATTTATTCTAGGTTATAGTTGAATTTCTCTACCCTCCCTCTTTAATGAATGTACTTTATTTACTATATTCCATGTTAATACTCCGTAATTGATTAATTAGAATCATTTTGATTAGTTAGTCCTCGGCCATCAATAAGTTTATTTCAATATAATCGGTGTACATATTTCAACGGTCCATAAATCCATTTATTATTAGTATCCGCCAATTACTTCATTATAACTAATCTGGTTTAAGGGTTCCATGTTAAACTAACCAATCAACTATTTACCATTATTTTGATCATCAACTTATAATGATATTTATAACCATTGGCTTTATAAGTAATAATCAGTCCACACACTACTATCACTTTTTCTAGTACATAATGTTGCCGTTAGTACTATTATTACGGGTTCCGAATTTAGTCCATTATTATAGTCTATTTTAATCAGTCTATTATTATTATTATCAAAATAGTCCGAATTAGTTTATTAAAGCGAATATAAGAGAAACAGTGATGTTTGTATAATATTAGTGTCGAATAAACTGCCTATTTTATAAATATCATCTCTTTAGATTTCTTATTAATTGGTCAATTTATTTTAAGGTAAGCCACTAATCCAATTAGTTCGGTTTAAACAATGTTCTATTTTAAACTGATCAGCCCATTGATAGTCATTCCGTTTAGTTTTATAATCAACGATCCATCCATTTTCATTTAATTATTACTATCCAAGTATCATTTAAATTAAAAGTAATCTGGTTTAAGCATTCCGCTTTGAACTGAGCAGTGCACGTAATGTTAATTAATTAGGCAGTTCACAATTTGATTTTAGTAGTACGTCGAGGTTAATTAATTGGTCTGGTTACAGTTTACTTAATTTATTACTACGTATTAATATAACCATTCTTATTAGCAAATTGCTATTACTTCGGTTGTACATACAGTCCAATATTACCGAGAACAAAACACCCAAACGTTAAAGCTTAGTATTATTATTGGTTTGTTTTCGTTCAGTTCTTATACAGAGTATAAGATTAAACAATCCAGTTTCTTATAGTGAATAAGTCCAGAACATCTATGTTATTATTACTAGTTCTTACTCCATTTTATGTTTTAACCAGTCCGGGCCGTATTATATCAGATTAATTATATTCTGTAGGCTAAGGAAATAACTTCATCGCAGGTGTGCGGGTTACCTCTATTGACGACGATGCTTTGGTGACGCAGCGTCGGGCGGTGGTCAGCAGCAGGTTGGCTCGGCAGAGATCCGAAATGTTCGCCCTTCTCCGGCGAACTCCGGCACTTCACGGTCGGCTTTTCTTCTCCTTCCGTCACTCTCTCGTACTCACGTTTTTCTCTCTCTCTTTTCTCTCGCAGTTTCTTACGTATGGAAGCCTAGCTTCTTAGTTTGTGTGCAGATTATCAACGAAGAGCGCTATTTATAGGAGAAGGTCGAAGGTTCTGGGTCGTTTAAAACTTATCCGATTGGCTTAGAAGCTCAAGTTTCGGAAGTTCGTGATTATCTCAAAGGTTATTAGCGGAGTCCGAGTTTGAATAATACTTCGTAGTTAGGGGTAGACGTATACTACGTACGTATGTTTATTTTAGTAGGTTTATTAATATTATTACTATAGCAACACGTCACTTAGTTTGCTATTAATTAGAATTAATACGCATGTGTGTAATATGGACTTATAGAGTTTCCGAGTATATTAGATTAGATTAAAAAAAAGTCAACTTTTTAACCTTTATATATTTTTTTTTGTGTAATATTAGTGTATTATCAATTACCTATGAACTTCAATTAGTTAAAATCTCAATCTCCTTATTTATGTCAAGTGTATAAATATCATTCGTATAAAACTGTTGCTTAAGCCAAAATCTAATCTGGTCAGCTTAATTATAAAAATGTAAATTTTCTATTATTTACATTCGTAACATTTTATCCATTTAAAATTATTTATTTCATTTTACTTTAAAATTTTTGAAGTGTCAAACTACCGATTCCGTTCATGACCCAGACTGGAAACCCAGGTGCTGTTCTGTTCGTCTTATTCTTATTACTTATTGCTTATTCTTATTTTATTCAGATCAGATCAGATCAGATCAGAAAAATTCAGATCAGATCAGATCAGATCAGAAAGATTCAGATCAGATCAGATCAGAAAGATTCAGATCAGATCAGATCAGATCAGAAAGATTCAGATCAGATCAGATCAGACCAGATCAGAAACATTCAGATCAGATCAGAAACATTCAGATCAGATCAGATCAGAAAAGTTCAAACATGATTTATCACTTTTATTATTATATTAATTATTATTATTAATATTGTTATTACTATTATGATTATTATTATTATATAATTATTATTAATATATTAATAATAATATGATAAAGAAATAAGATATTAATAATAGTTATAATATTTTAATATAATAATAGTAATATAAATGCAATTATTAAGAAGACTATTATTATTATTATTATTATTATTATTACAATATAACAATAATAATATTATTATAATATTATATTATAATTATATGTAATTATAATTATAATTACAATTATAATTCTTATAATTATAAGTATAATCAATTGTAATTATTATAATTATATCTATAATTAAATATAATTATAATAATTATAATTATAATTATAATTATAATTATAATATAATATTATAATAATATAATACTAATAATAATAATAATCGGATTATTATTAATATATTGTAATAATAATATTAATATAATAATATCGTTATGATAATATTAATTGTATTTATAGTACTATTATTATATTATAATATTATAATTAATGTTAATATAATTATAATTATTATTAATTATAATTATAATAATTATAATTATATTATTATATTATAATATTATAATTAATTTTAATATAATTATAATTATTATTAATTATAATTATAATAATTATAATTTTACTTATAATTATATTATAATTAGAATTGATGATTATAATTATTATTTTTATTATAATAATAATTATTATTATTACTATTGTAATTATTTTACGGAGTAATTATAATAATATTGATAACTATATTTACAATTATAGAGATAAATATTGTAATTATAATTACAATTATAATTACATAAGTAATTATAATTAAAAATATAATTACAGTTATAATTATATCTATATTTATAATTAGTGTAATAGGTATAAATTTTTTTATTTTAAATTTAATTTTAATTTTTATTATTATTATTATTATAGTTACGATTATAATTATAATTTTATTTAAATTATATTTGTAATTGCAATTATAATAATTATAATTATAATTATAATCATAATTATAATCATAGAAACATTCAAATCAGATCAGATCAGAAAGATTCAGATCAGATCAGAAGGATTCAGATCAGATCAGAAACATTCAGATCAGATCAGACCAGATCAGAAACATTCAGATCAGATCAGAAAGATTCAGATCAGATCAGAAAGATTCAGATCAGATCAGATCAGATCAGAAAGATTCAGATCAGATCAGATCAGATCAGAAAAATTCAGATCAGATCAGATCAGAACTTAAAAAATTCAGATCAGAAACATTCAGATCAGGCGAAGAGGAGTCCCATATCCAATCTGTGGACCGGGTTTTGTCCTAGTCCAAGATCTCTGACCGGTCCATCCCAAATTTGTACACTGAACCGATCGGGTCCGTTTAGATCCATATTGGAGGAGATCCATATGTGACCGGAAAGCATTCATCTTCATTCGAATCAAAGTCTCCTGCATCTAGTACGCCGACGCAATCGCATTTTTTGCATTTGTTGAGACTACTCTGCGTTTTTGGAAAGCCTAAAGCGAAAGGAAAAGAGATTCCGATGGACTCCTCAACAGCGATTCGGAGAAGCGGCGGCGGCCTCCTCGAAGGCCTCTACAGAGTTATTATGCGGCGCAACTCCGTCTATGTGACCTTCGTCATCGCCGGTGCTTTCATCGGTGAACGGGTCAGTTCCTGTATCTTTGACGTCTTTTGGATCGGGATATCATTAGACTCATGCGTTATTCGATTCTAATTGGCGGTACTGATGTTCTATCGTTCTTCTAAATCGTGATTGCAGGCAGTGGACTATGGAGTTAAGAAGATCTGGGAGAACAACAATGTTGGGGTATGATTATTTAATCAATATTCCTTTTTTAGAATTTGTTTTTCATGAATTATGTTGCATTCTTAACATTAGAATTTGCGTTCTTCCTTTCAATTGTAGCTTATTGATTTCCTCTTTTTGGTGAATGCAAGTGGATTTGAAGGCCGCTGTACTTATTATTTAAATGCGAATTGAAAAGTTGGGAATTTTTCCTTTCCATGCTTGATGATTGATGTGTTTTAGGTGTCAATTTTTAAAAATTTCCTGGTACTGTCTAGTATTACTTTATATTGCACATGCAATAAAGTTACACAAAATTTCCTTGGTAGGTGTAGTTTTATTAGGTGCCAATCTTCTTCTTCCATTGGTTTTCATGCCCTCCATTAGGTTATATTTTTTCTCGCATTCTTCCAAAAATGTGTCAGCTTTGGATGACAGATTTATTATTCATTTCATTGAGCTGTTACTTGTGGTGTGATATGAATCTAAATTAAGTAGGGAACTTGCATAGAACATACTAGCCAGTTTGGAAGTAGGGAACCTTTACTTCTTCATTTGTTTAGATTGTTGACAAACAGAGGAGGCTTATCCTCTTCTCATGCATTTATCCTTGGAGTCACTACACCTTTGGAATCCAGTTCTGCCTAGCTAAGTGATGTGCTAAGTCAATACAGAGTTTGTCTGGTTAGCATGCTGTGTTTTGAAGCTGGAGATGAAAAGAAGTGATTATTTACATTTTAGTCAATCTTTAGTAAGGGAATGAAATATACATTCAATATCCTTGTTATCCTCTTCTGTGGAATTACTATGTATGAAAATTGTAAGGTGTTAGAGACAGTTTCTTAATTTATTCTTGGGAAAAGGTGCAAATAGGCCCATGTACTAACAAAAAAAGGTCAAATAAGCCCTTATTTAGGAGGCTCTGTCCGGCCGTCGTCATTTCGGGTGGTTCCCGGTGGAATTTTTTGATGAAATTTTTTGAGCATCTTATTCATCAAGTCTAGTTTACTCATACCAAATTTCAGCTAAAACTTCAATCGGGAAGGCATTCAAATAAATTCTTGAAAATAACTGCGCAGTTAGAAGCGCATTTATCTTCAAGAATTTATTTGAATGCCTTCCCGATTGAAGTTTTAGCCGAAATTTGGTATGAGTAAACTAGACTTGATGAATAAGATGCTCAAAAAGTTTCATCAAAAAATTTCACCGGGAACCACCTCAAATGGCGACGGCCGGACAGAGCCTCCTAAATAAGGGCTTATTTGACCTTTTTTGGTTAGTACATGGGCCTATTTGCACCTTTTCCCTTTATTCTTGGAAACACGTTTCTTAATTTATTTTTGGAAACACATCCTAATTTAATTAGGGGTTATGTTGCTTTGGGAACAAGACACTGCATCTCTATAAATACCACTCTCCTCTCTTGTAATCTGCATCCAGAAAATATTAATAACATTCCTGGCTTGGTAACGCCCCCAGACGTAGTCCTCTGTGGCGAACTGGGTTACCAAATTTCGTGTGTTCTTTAATTGTTCTTCGTGTTTGTGAGTTAAATTCCTAACAAGAAGGATGCCTCATTGCTCAGATTGATTTAACCTTTCTGAGTATTTGCCTCTATTTTTTTTTTTCTTCCATAATCTTTTATACCATGGCTTTGTCACAACTTGCAAAACTATCCTTTGATTTGTGTTGAGTTTGATGTTAATTCTTTTTTGTTGAACTTTTGTTGTGATGGATCAGTACTCCCAGAGTAAGCTAGCACACATCTCACTCTGGTTTCAAATACATCTCCTTTGCTTTTAAAAGCTGAATTTCCACTTTCAAATTGGATTTCATACCTTTTTCAATGGCCATTCCTTTTAGGGATGCCATTTACCTTTTCAACATACCCCTTTTTTCATGGTTTGAATAGGCATTTGAGCTACAACGCTTAGAGCCATAAGCCTCACCATGTTGTCCAGGGGCATACGTCCAGTGTAGGCAAAAGAGAATGTCTGGGCGCTTTAGCGCACCAGGCGCAGCTCACATGAGCCCTAGCGACTGAACAATGGCCGGGCGCAGCTCCCTGTCTGAGGTGCATGTAAGGCGCTGAAGCGATGAAGCTGGGAAAAGCGCACGCTTAAGTCGCCTTGGCTGAGAAAGGCTTATCAGCCTATTTTTTTTTTTGTTTGGTCCTACTTTAAATAGTAACACCATATTTATAATAACATTAAGGCATTAAGCCTATCCAAACAAAAGGTCAAAACAACTTAAACCCATGTTAAACCCTTCTTAGTTGCGGTAAAAGTCTTCTATCGTGATTTCATTGTTAATCTCCTATGCTGCTCTGTGCTCTAATTGCGCATCATGCTCGGCGCTGAAACAGGCATTCAACAATCAACCCACAGAAGCCAGAAACCCATAGGTGTCCTCATCATCATCTTCCCATGTTCTTTCTTCTTTCTTTTTCAGCTTAAAATTTTCATTTATTTTGTCATCATCTATTCATCTTGTTGATCCTTTCATTTTATACTTTCAGTCTATCTTTTTTCCTTACATTTATCAGTTCCAGTCATCTATGCATACTTTATAGTTCTTTTTGCTTCTAATATATTCTATACAACTCAAACATATTGTATGTACCTGACTACCAGTTTACATTATTTGTACTCTATATTATATCATCGTATTATCATTTCATCTTTTACCCGGATAAAACCTCATATAATCTAACTCAGTTAATAGTTTCATGCACTATAATTTATGCTATCCTAGTGGTAAAACTGCAAAATCAGCACAGACCCACTTGGTGTTTTGTTTTTTGTGAACTGAATCTTTATTTTGGTGAATCGTGATCTTGTTTTTGAGAAACATGACTTTTTAATGCATTTAGTTCAGTATGATGTTGACTATGTCACATTTGATCACTCTAGAATAGTATACATAATAATATCATCTAAATAGTGTTCTTGACCTGAGTCAAGTGAGTGTTTTTTGGTGCCTTGCGCCTCAGAAGTACTCTAGCACCTTAAGTGCGCCTCACGACTTTGACTACCTTACATACGTCTCATATGCATGAGGCTTAAGCTCCGCTTGGTGGTTGGGCCCTATTTTTACTAAGTAAATGGTCCAATAGATCTTTCAAACCGGACATTATTTCTCAAATTGGGCACAATCAGGCTTTTGCTTTTTGTGGGTGGCTTTGAGTTAGTTAAACAAATTCAGCATGGAAATACCCTCAGAACTCTGTTTGGATATTTTTCCCTTGTTGAGCCACTGAGATGGTGAATTTGTTTAATGGCACAACAATTAGGCAAACAATGTCACATTCAGAAGGTGTGTGCGACTGAGATGCATAGATGTTGCGTTTAATGTGTGGATATACTAGAAAAGATCTCTTGAGAAATGAGACAATTTGGCAAAAGGCGTAACACCTATTTGTTGTGGACTTGTGGTTCAGTAATATGTATAGAAAACTTCTTAGACGAGCTGAGAGGCAAGGAGGAGAGATAGAAGAAGACCCAAACAAAGTGTATTAAAAGGGTTGGGAAGGATATGATACTTTTTGGGTTTAATGAGAGTATGACTTCGGAGAGAGCAAATTGGAGAAAGAATAAACGTGTGGAGGGTTGATTTCATTTTTTTCTTTCAATTTTATCTTTCTTATCTTCTTTATCTTTTTATCTTATGTTTTTAATGTTATCTTTCTAAGTTTTCCATTTTTTTAATTTTATCTGATCTTTCTTTCATCTTCTTTTATCGTATACAAGTATTTTTTTTATATTTTTATCATTTTGCTTTGATTTTATATATCGATTCGTGTTAGCCGAGTCCCAACTCTTTTGCGACTAAGCTGGGATGTTGTGTGTTTGTTTGGGTGAGTGCTACTCTTTTTATAGGATCTGCTCTGTACATGCTGCTAATTCAGTAGCAGTTCCTTTTATGTTTCTGCTGATACGTCCACGGGTTTTTTACACTGCTTGGCTTAAATTTCATGAATTCTAGAACTTCATTATGCAATTATATGTGTTAAATTGTTATTATGCCTTATTAGTCGTTAACACTATTTAGGGCTAATGTGTCCTCACACTAATAATTAGCTACGATACTATATAAAATTTTGTACCAGCAACTATTTGTATTCACAAGCGATTCTATAATTTTATCGCTGTGTTGGTTTTTAAAAATAAATTTCTGTCTTCTGACAAATGCAGAAGCGTTACCAAGATATTCCAGTTTTGGGACAGAGGCCAACTGAATGAACTGGGCCAGAGTGAAGCAAATCTCAGATTGATGATATTGAATAAACGTCCTACCGAGTATTAGTGTGCGCCTCCATGCAAGCCAATGAGACTGCATTTTATACTTTTCTTGTCTTCCCTTGCAAATGCTTTCTATTCATACTTATTCTTAAAAGTATTGCTCTGTTGAAACAACTTTGCTATAGGTACCCCCATTTTGTACCCCACTCTATTTGTGTGGCTCACAAAAGCCTAACACATTAAATCACATTAAATGAATTGCTCCATTTTAATGAAGTGCATTTGTGAGCCACAAATATAGGGGGTGGGTGCACAATGGGGTACAAAATGGGGTAGCAATAGCATTTTTGCTGTTAAAATGTAGAAGCGCATACATTCTGCTCATTTCTGCTGGTCCATTTCAGACGTGTGTTTGCGGTGCCCGGCATGTGTTCTTCATAATTGATTTTTCTCATTGCCTTGCATAGTTGCATGTAGGGATGGTATGGCTGGACTCGGGCCGGTTCGGGCCCGGTTCGGGCCTGGGCCCGGCCGGGCCTCGGGCCAAGAAAGGGAGGCCCGAGCCCGAACCGCCGGTGGCCGGTTCCGGTCCCAGTTCCGGGCCAAACCGGGCCGGGCCGGGCCGGGCCGAACCGGCCCACTTAATTTGTTTTTTTTTTTTTTGGTCTCCTATTTAATCCCCTACCCCTCCCCCTCAACCCCAAACCATCCCAAACCACCTCAAATGGCCCAAAATACCTAATCCAACCTAAAACTTAAAAAAATTTCAAAAAAAAAAAAAAATTAAAATCCGGCCCGGACCGGGCCCGAACCGGCCGGGCCGGTTCACCAAAACCTGGGCCCGGGCCCGAACCGCCCAGCAGCCGGGCCGGGCCGAACCGAACCGGTGGACCCACCGGGCCCCGGGCCGGGCCGGGCCTAACAGTAACCGGGCCGGGCCGGTTCCGAGCCGGGCCGCCCGGCCCGAGTCCAGCACTAAGGGATGGGCATGGGTCGGGTAATATAAAAAAAAAGGAACCGCCGGTTCCATTGACCGGGTAGATTTGGGTCGGGTACGTGAATCTCGAAGTATGAATTGGACCTTACCTGCCCTGTTTGAAATGGGTACATTTTTTTGTACCTAGCCGGCCACTATTTGAACCGGCCTGAACCGCCGGCCCGGCTAGGGACCGGTCCGGGTAGGCCCGACCCGCTGGGGTTCCGGGCCGGGCTCGGGCCCCTGAAAAGGTGAACCAGCCCGGCCGGTTTGGACCAATTTTTTTTTTTTTTATTTTTTTTTGTTTGAATTTTTTTTATGTTTTTGGGTTGGGCTGGGTATTTTGGGCCATTTGAGGTGGTTTGGGGGTGAGGGGGGAGGGTTGGGGGTTAATTAGGAAAAGCCAAAAAAAATTAATTTGAACTGAGGCCCGGCCCGAACCGGACCCGGGGGTTACCCGGGCCTGTTCCGGGCCTCCCCTTTCATGAACCGAGGCCCGTCCGGGCCCGGGCCCGAACCGAGCCCGAACCGGCCCGAGTCCACCCCTACCCTCAAGTGCGCAACCACCAATGAAAAAAATAGTTTACAATGAACCCCGCACAAATTACAAGTTTACAACATTACATCAGTATTTAAAATGAGTACATTGCATTTGAAAAATTAAAATATAAGTACAGCAATTATGTTCACCATAGATCATAGATGTGCATGATCATTTGAAAGAATTTTTAAGGAACGAATAGTAATTTTTTTAGAGAGATTTAATGGAAGATGATTTCAAGAATAATGAAGAATAATAAATTGAAAGTGTGTATGTAGAATGATAGATAAATATTACTCCGTACAAAATAAGTAAGATGAGTTCATTGTTAACCTAATGTTTAAGTCCTACTTGAGGGTAGGTACAAATAGCATTTTTGATGTCAATGTGAGGATTGAGCTAGTCCGGCTGCATGATCAAAGTAGCCACTCATTAAGTTGAGTAGTGGGGATAGAGGCTGGAATAGATCTAGATTCGAGATCATCTGTGTTAGGTGGCGACAGAGAAGGCTTGGTAGGGAACATGATGAATAAGACGCAAGTTACGGAAGAAGCTACAGTACTGCTGGATCGGCCCCCTCCTGAACCGCCACCATGAAGTGCAGTAGAGTCTAGGGTTTTGAAGCATCTTTGTAATTTTACTGTTTGCTTACGATTTATTTTTCATGAACATATCAGACTGCTTATTTTTTTATTGATTACTTTTATTATTGCAAGACTCTTGTGTTAGGATTGGGTGATGAGAGGAATGCTTTAACCATCGTTGGCTCATTTATGCCTATTATAGGATCAATGCGTCATATTGCTTTTTTGAAGGTGATTTACTCTAAGTCTGGTTCGAGGGCTGACGGTTGTCTGTAGTCCTTTTGTCGTTTAACTCCCCATCTGAATGCTAATGTTGTGATATCAATTTAAGCTCCCTTCTTCAAAAAAAAAGATAATCTAGCATATAGCTCACGCATTTAAAATTTTATATTTATATATAAACACTTTTGCATATTTTTGGCAGATAGGGGTAGGCAATTGCCTGAATATATATTTACCCGTACTTTTACTAAAATGAGAAATAATATAAAGACCAAATAATGAGAGTTTGCATAAAAACGTACTTATGGCGACTTCAAGATAGTGTGAAAGAACTCACACATTTTTAACTTATCGGTGTGTAAGTGTAAACCGTAAAATGTTACATTAGCTACAACTACCTGATACTTTTATTTAATTAATGATTTCAACATTATTTATGATTTACTAATTGGCTTGTAATTGGCCATTGCTTTATAAATCACTTTGAAGATTAGTTTTAGTTTTGACTAAAAAATACAATGGACCCCTTTTGTGATTAAAGTAGTTTTTTTTTTGTCAAAAAAAAAAGTAGTTTTTTTAAAGACAACCTTTGTACATGACGAAGGGGTGATACTTATTTGAAATTTGCAATTACAACTATGAACTGAGGTAGGGCTTTGATTACTTACGTCAAGATATGCGAAGTTTATACTAATATACAAACGGCACAAATTTGTCATCGATCGGTTCTATGGTGTAGTGGTTAGCACTCTGGACTTTGAATCCAGCGACCTGGGTTCGACTCCCGGTAGGACCTCTCTTTTGCTAATTTTATTTACTTCCGTTTCTCTTGCAGTCAATGTACAGCTACACGTTATTTTTATTTGTTTGGGATAAGGATCAGATAGGGCCTTGAACTTGAAAAAAATGTCAAATAAGGTCATATTTAGGATGCTCTGTCCGGCCGACGTCATTTGGGGTGGTTCCCGGTGGAATTTTTTGATGAATTTTTTTTAGAATCTTATTCATTAAGTCTAGTTTACTCATATCAAATTTGAACTAACAATTCAATCGGGAAGGCATTCAAATGAATTCATGAAGATAACTGCGCTTTTAACGGTACAATTATCTTCAAGAATTCATTTGAATGCCTTCCCGATTAAAGTTTTAGTTCAAATTTGATATGAGTAAACTAGACTTGATGAATAAGATTCTAAAAAAAAATCATCAAAAAATTCTACCGGGAACCACCCCAAATGACGTCGGCCGGACAGAGCATCCTAAATATGGCCTTATTTGACATTTTTTTTCAAGTTCGAGACCCTATCTGACCCTTATCTCTATTTGTTTTGAATGAGAGCATATTTTTATATAGATGCAAGACCTAAATAATCACTACAAAAAATTGCAAATGATCTAAAAATTATCAAATAGCTGTTTTTATTATCCAAACAGGAGTAATTGCTAGCCATGTTTTGGTAGTATCAAGCTTTAAACATAGCAAAATTTTTGGAGACAAAAATAGGCCCAATTTTTTTGGCGAAATTCACAAAAATAATCCTTACTTTTGTGCATTCTACAATAATAATCTCTACTTAAAGTGTCCACAAGAATAAATTGGAGTTGAAATCAAACTATTTCCCATTTAATACTAGCAGCCCCTACCTCACTTTCACATTCATCACTTTTATGTTTCAACCTAGAGAAAACCGCATGTGGCGAAAATTGTGTTACAATTAAACGAATTTTTGTTTGAATTTTGCCCGAGAAGAGTATGACAGAGAAAAGTGAGAGTAAGGGGTGAGAGTAATAAATGGGCATTAATTTAAATTCATCCCAATTTATTCTTATGAACATAGTTGTTAGTACAAATTATTTTTATGAACATTCTAAGTAGAGATTAATATTGTAGAATGCACAAAAGTAGGGATTATTCATGTAAATTTCACCAATTGTTTTCTCCATATATAGTGTGAGTAGACTTATTTTTTATTTTAAATTTCAATTAATTATTTTTTCTCCGTTTAAATTTTGTTGACAATTAGAAAAAATAGAACATAACTATGTGAAGAATCGACGTTAACTCGCCACAGTCGCCAGTCATCACAACCTGGCCGGGATGCCAACTCGCCGGTCGCCTCTTTTGTCCTCAAAACATCATAGCCTTGCTCGAATAGATGCAAGACCTAAATAATCACTACAAAAAATTGCAAATGAGCTAAAAAAATATTAAATAGGGAAATATGATCATCATGTTTTTATTCTCGAAATAGGAGTAATTGCTTGCCATGTTTTGGTAGTGTCAAGCTTTAAACATAGCAAAATTTTTAGAGATAAAAATAGGCCCAAAATCTTTTCTCCATATATAGTGTGAGTAGACTTATTTTTTATTTTAAATTTCAATTAATTATTTTTTCTCCGTTTAAATTTTGTTGACAATTTGAAAAAATAGAACATAACTATGTGAAGAATCGACGTTAACTCGCCACAGTCGCCACTCGTCACAACTTGGGATGCCAACTCGACGATCGCCTCTTTTGTCCTCAAAACATCATAGCCTTGCTCGCCAGGCTGCTCGTAGCTCCTAGATGATATCGAATTCAAGCAAAAGGTAATTCCTCCAACCCTCCTTAATTCAAGCAAAAGATAATTCCTCGTTGACTTAATTTCTAACCTTTTAAGTTGCTAACCTAATTTTGTAAAGGTGATCTCACATTAATATGTTGATTTGTAAATTTGTAATTCAAAAGCCTAAATTTGTTCTTTTGTATTTGCTTTTATAATTTGCTTTTATAACTTGAATTATGAAATTGCTTAATCTGAAAGTCCATAATTGCTTAGTTTGTATTGATTTTTATGATTACTATTACTCATTGTTCTAAAACTCGCTAGGCGCTAATCGGACGGTTGAGGGGCACCTAGCGCCTAGTCGGCGGACTAGGCTGATTTTTTGACCGACTAAATCGATTTTTTGGCCGACTAGGTCGATTAATCAGTCCGACTAGGCCGATTTTTAGAACAGTGCTATTACTATTACATCTCAATTTTTACATTTTTCTTTCTGATATGATTTTGAATTGAGATGACATGGATTTTTTTCTATATAAGCTTTAGTTATTGTTTAGATTCTCTTTTTGACTCATGTTTTCTCGTTTCAACTCA